CCTCCACTATTGGTATTATTAACCATTTTTCTAGTCTGTTTTCTTTTGGGTATTGATTTGTTATTGTTAGTTATCTTACCACTCCTAAGGTTCATATACTAAAGACAAGAATTTGTTCCTAAGAGAAACTAAAAAGACCCTAATTGAAAGAACACAAGCAATGTGACTAAACCACTTCGACACGAGTACCACTGGGCGTGCCAATTTGTTTACCAGTGATTTATGACAAACAACCGCTAGTCTTTCAAACTCTATGTTTTGGTAACTTACAGGATCGACTGGATTGATCCTAGGACATGTGTCTTAGTGTTACAATTTGACTTAGAATTTGATATAATAATAAGGTCTTTCTATGTGATTATGATTACTTCAAGATGTTTAAAATTTGGCTATGAATCCTAAATATAACTTTAAAGGAAATGATCTAAATATTTATAAAATATAAATAAAAAATGCTTATTAAAGGAAGTTCGACAAAATCTGTTAAAAGTGTTTGACTGGAAAAAGAAATAAAGAAAGCAATTAAAATAACTTTATAATAAGAAAACAACTCTGAATAAAATGATGGTGTTCTTGCACATACATTATCAATAAACTCTTTTCTCTCGCTCTGATACATTGAGTATGAGTGATTTGTATACAATGTGAACACACTGAATCCTAACATCTAAGACTCATATTTATACTAATTCGATCCAAACGGTCTTTCTATGAGATTACGCCACGTTCGACATCTTTTACATGCATACGTTCTAGCGCTTCCACGCGTCTTCCTGGCGAAAACACATTAGTTTAAAATTTAAACTTCCCGCTCGAAGCTTTTGAATTCAACTTTGAATTCAACCAACATGATTGTTGAAGTATTCACATATCTTGAAATACTCCTTTCACTTTAAGTTGCCCTTCGACGTGTCGAATCATAAAAATGAGCTTTATAAAATAACCTTATAAGGTCAAATTTCATATTATTTTTTAAAACATGATCTTCTCAAATCAACTTTCATATTTTTATCAAATGTCGAAATCTTCAGCTAACAGACCCCTACTCCCTAGGCCATCATTACAATCCCAAGGGTTACGCCACATGCCTACACCCCGTAGGTCTTCTCCTCCCCGCGACTAGAATGCTCTCATCCCGAGTCCACTCTGAACGTTGCTCGGGTAAACTCATATACTAACGACTTTCTCTGTCAACACAATAAAAGATCCTCGTCGAGTAGCGCATCTCGCGAAAGAAAAAGCTGGACTTAAGTCATAACTCCTTCATCAGGAGCAACGGCTTGGGGGCTCCTATTCTAGACTGGGCCTGCCCTTGGCCCAACTCTATGTGAGGCCCATTCTAATTATGTCGGTCAAGGCATACTGGTCAGTTCTGCCCTCGACTGCGTCGGGCAACAACTTCTACTCCCCGCAAGGAGGCAACCTCACCGCACGGGGATAAACCCAGTTAATTTTAAGAAGATCATCGCCGGTCATGAGGATCTCGAGGTCACCCTCCGATCCCCTCCCCGACCAAGACTAATCCCCTCACATGATCTCACGTCTGGCGGGGAGCATCCACGACGAGCAGAAGCACCTCACGAGCATCCTCCTCGTAGGGCTGACTATCAACGTCTCCGAATATCAGAGTCTTCGTGACCCGGGAAAGACCGCATCCATATCTTCCTGATCTTGTAGAGGAAGTCATCCAGGTAGAGGACCGTGTGCGGGTTCCCACTACTCACGTAGGACCTGACAGTCTCCACTTTGGGTCTGCTTGACCAGCCCAATGAGGAGACCTTGGCCCAGTACTGAAGACTATAAATACCCTATCTTTCGAGAGGGTCAAGTATTGAACATTTCTCATTCTCTTGCTTGCTCGCTCATTCTGAATCTCACTTTGACACCGGAGTGTCTTGCAGATACCCTCCACCTCACTTTCAGGTACGGTCATATATATGATTTTATTGGATCTAATTTTATTAGATATAAGATTGCATTCAATTTGTTAAAAAAATAATTATTTTTATAATTTTTTAACGATAAATTTGTTTTTAAAATGTACAAATAATTATAATAATAATGCAAGTGTGAGTAAGTGAAGAAATAATCACACATTGGATAGAAATGTGGAGACTTGAGTATATATAAGTCGGAGAATTCACTCACCTAAAATTTTAAGATAATAGGTGAGTGATTTCTTTCACTTATAAATGGTGTGTCTCTCGTAAAGATACATAATCATCAATTTTGTATTAAGAGGTGTCCCGTTGAAAGTTATCACACTAATAATAATGCAAATGTACATGGTCTTCAACTTTGTATTAATGTTCCTAATACTTCCTCCAACACAAATTTCAATAAATTAATTAAAATCCATATCAAATTCTATTTTATTTTAATTTATATCTAATTTTTACATGAATTTTAGGTCAAATATTTCCTCCGATCCTTTAATTTTTAGTTTATAACAAGTTCTCTTTTTATATTTTTCTTAATATCAATTTGATCCTTTGTCATTCAATTTATTATGGTACTCTTTTTCATATTATATTGATCGATGATTATGAAGTACTAAAACATTATCAAATTTTAGAGGCAGGATTCAAATTCAATTCCACTCTAATAACGATTACTGTTTGGAAAAAAAAAAACATCAATTTCAATTCAAATAATCAAATAAAATAAATATAGTGATAATCGCAACAAAATAAAAACAATTACAGTGATAATTAAAAAGTAAACTTCACCAAAATTAGTTAATGGTAGACACTAGAGAGATCTTTGTTCCAGGAACTTATAACTTATATTTAAAATAATAGACTTAGATAAATATTTATTATTTTATCTTCAATTTAATTAATAAAAGCAAATTTCATTTAATATGAACTTTTGACTTATGTAAGAATACATATACTAAAATATAGGTAAAAAATAAAGTATGCATAAAAAGCATATTTAATTTTATCTTAATAAGTTGAAACAATCATAATTTTGAAACAAAAATTAAAAAAACTTATAAGAAGGAAGATTGAGGAAGGAATGAGTAAAAAAAAAGATCTGAAGAAGTCTTGAGTAAAAAAATATGATCACAAGAAGTCAATTACGAGACATCATCTTTACATATTTTTAATTTTTAAAACCAACCTTTATTATATTTTAATTATGTCATATACTACTATTTCGGTAAAGAAAAAATAAGACATTATGCAATATTAGTGTAAAATATTTTATTTTGTAAATCAATGAATATGAGTATTATGTCAAATCACATTTATATTTTAAAATTATTTAGATGACATGATAGACGTTGATTTATTATTGGAAGATAGTGTAAAATAATTTTATATTATATTAAACTCTTGTGTAAATTATGATTACACATTCGTTGTCTTGAACATAAAGGGTGAAGAAGACACACATACTTGGATTGCAATGTATGGATAACATAAGCCATAGAAACATTTATAATATCTATAAAAAAAGATTCGCACAAAAGCTAGTGTTTTTTTTAAATTTTTTTTAATGACAAAGTAAAATTGAGTCTAAATGTCTTAAGAAGTTAAACATGATTAACTCTTAAACTTTAGTGATTCGAAAGGTGATTACTGATTTTGTTTATTTACTGTTAGCACAGTAAAAATAGGATCTCTCTTTATAAAATGAATATTTAGAGGAGGACAGCATGAGGCTTAAAAATCATTGTTACATGCAATGCAACTCTACTAATTTAGTATCTGTATTCACTAGTATTTTATAAAAGTTAAAAAATTAACAGAATCCAACAACTATTTGATGTTTAAAATCCCGAGACTTATGACAGAAATTGATTGGATGAAAGATCTTCTTTTAATTAAGGGAAAATACTTCAATTGAAAGAAAGAAAAGTTAAAAAGTAGTAAAAATTTAGAAAGGCACACCCTCAAGAAAATCTAACACTTCTCTGTATCTAGAGCTACGTTTGAACTGAATTTCCTAAGAAAACTGTCTATTCAACATGCAATTGCTGGTTATTATATTGAAAGTGTTGCAACTGATACATATAAAACTCAGAACAGAGATGGGTGCAATTTTGTCATGTTTATGAAGTCAAGATTTTCTATTTTGAAAATGTTGAATTAGTTGTTTAAAGTGGGTGTGGAAAATATCTATGTTATTTTCAGTTTTCAACATAAGTGCTTAACATATGTCAAAAAAAATTTAAATGCTTAACTACACTAACCACCTCCTCACAAACAATTGAATATAAAAAAATTAGGATTAAATAAGTTTTTGATCCTTCTAAATATTTCAAATTTCGTTTAGTCTCTCTAAAATTTTCCTTCAAAGAATGGTCCTCCTAAAAAATTAAATTTTAACTTTTAGTTCCTCCTGACAAAATCGTAGCTAAAATAATCTATAATTTCATCGCTAAATTAAAACCGTCACTAAATTGTAAAAACCGTCACTAAATTACAGGAGAGACCAAAAGTTAAAATTTAATTTTTTTTAGTGGACCATTCTTTGAAGGAAAATTTTAGACAGACTAAAAACAAAATTTGAGATATTTAGAAGAACCAAAAATTTATTTAACCCAAAAAAGTAATCGGTGAAAAGAGGGAGGCACAGCTCTGCAAAATACATTATATGAATGAAGGAATAATATAAAATGAAAAAATGAGTTAAATATCAAAACATAACATTGAATGGATGAATTTCCTTATTTTTTATTTTCCTTCTTAAACGAAATACATAATTTCCAACGATAATATACAGAAAATGGAAAAGAACATAAAATACAGACCAACAGTTACAGGAGGAACCAACCAACAAACTACGACTCACTAATATGAAATTGTAAAATTGAGATGGAGTTTACTGTCACTGAAAATGAGGTCCAATGCAACACTGTACTATCACGCTTAACAGTGAAATGAGGCTTATTTCGACTCTTTAACTGAATAAAAAAATAAATATATAGTTCTAAATCCATTACCTCCATCAAGGCACTATAGTACATCAAATTGTCAAAAGATGATGTTCTATGCTACCATAGATTCTGAAGATGATTTCCTTTGCTCTAAAAGATTTGTAAGTGCAGCATCAATTTGAGTAAATACATCTTCCTGAGAGGCATTTCCATTAATCTGTAGACAACAAAAGCACCTTAGAAGCAGCAGTTTATCGCACACAGGAGCAGAACCTGCTGAACTACACTAGCAGGAACTTATTGAACTCGAATAAACTGCCAGATAGCGGCGATTAAAAGAATTATAGAAACATGACCACCCAGTTTAAATCAGTTAAGCAACAAATAACTGTCACCCCGTACAAATGTTAAAATGCATGAATCCGTGAAATGTTTTAATTTTAATCGTTAGTTCAAAGATATAAAAGTCAATTGATTTCATTTTTGTTTACAGAAAAAATATTCCTGGCTTCCACTTGATTAGTTTAAAATGAGGAATTAGACAAGATAAAATATATTTCATGTTCTATTCAGCAGTGTGATGAGTCTTAGTGAAAAACCGTGTTAGTCATCTATATAACTAATGCCACTTTCATGTTGTCATAATATAATTGGAATTCATACAAACTCCTTTGGTATAGGCGTTATATAGTAAAGATAACAGCAAATAGTAAGGAAAGACGAGAAATTGAAAAAAAAATTCTTGATATATTAATTGGTTGAGTCCTAACATTATAAAAATATGAACTGCATTTTTGTATTATGCTATATGTAATACTTTATGAACATTGACAATGTTTTAGCATTCTTATCCTCCAATCAGTTTATCTCCTCAGGCCAATCTTCTGGGTTTTCTGGATGCTCTAATTGCATTAATTTAAAATCATACTCAGATGTTTTCTGTTTTACGAGTTTTAAATCATTTTCTGTATGACTTTAGATCAAAACTGAAGTAGGAATGAGGGTCAAGTAATATTAGAGGTATCTGGGTGAAAAAGCCAGCAATTTGCAGTAAAACAGCCAGGTGCTTACAGTACATGGAAGAAAAAGTCAAAATAGGTTTCTTTGATAACGATGGTCGTAAACCAGAGGGAGGAAGAATAAGGATAATGAACATGACATGTGAAAAGTATGGATTGGATTAGAGTACAGAACTCTTGGATAAGTCAACTATAGAACTGAAAAATGTAATGATCATGAGCAAGAGAAAGCGAGAACAGTGGCTGAGCTTCACAAACTTTTATGGGAGGGTCAAAATAAATTAAAAATAAATGAATATTAAAAACTATTAACTTACAATATCTAATGGAATCAAAATTGGTCAAGCGGCTAGCATTATTGTTTTGTGCGAAAAAACTGTTTGTATCCTGAATTTTGCATTTTGAGACGTTAATTTAAATCTTGCACAAGAAAACATAAAGGAGATCCAAAAATATCACACTAAGAGCTGAACTCAAGACCTGCTCCTCGTTCAATCAAAACATGGCTTGCCACCACCGCAGCAAAGAGTAATTTGTTAAAATATGTCACATAATATAGTATATATATTAGTTAGCTTTTTACAAAGGTGAGGAACAGCCTGCTCCAGTCCCTACTGAGCGAGAAAGCATGGACTCTTAAGATGTGTGATTCTTGAATGAAAAAAAAAAGATAGAAGCCCGTGATAGTTTTTAAACAAAATATTATCGGAACAAGTATTTAGATCCAACGGCTGATAGTTAATCCTCTCACCTCTCATTTGATAATGACATCTATACACATATATATTGTACAAAATACATATAGCATACAATAAAGAGTAAATTTTGTATTTTTTTTGTTTGTGCTGTATAATGACCACCAAACAATATACATGACAGAGTTATACTACGACACAATTGTTTACCCTGGTTTTACTTATACTATGATTGAATGTGCATCAAAAGCACCATTGGCATCTTGTCCATTAAAACAAGATATGAATGCCCTTAGAGCGTGGATATCCATTCTTTCTAATGTCGTGGCAGATTGCCTACTCCATATCGGTAGCAGGCAGTACTAACAAACACGAATGATTGGTAATTAGTCATTAATGATATCTATTACACAAACAACAAACAAGATTACTTGTGCATGAAGCATGCATGTGTCTGTTGTGTGGACAGGTGTATGGAGATGTGTGACAGAGAGATAAAGAGAGCAAGTTAAGTCATACCTTAATGGTTATATCTTTAAACATGGAAAGGACTGCCTCCACATTTTGATGATGGGTGTTCAATCGCAACTTAACCTAAGTCAAAAGCAAACAATAGCGCAAAAAACTTTCAGTTGTACTTAATATATTTGTATATATAAAATCCTGAAGTTGTTAACAGAGAGCATTGAGTATTTTCTTATTAAAGAATTGAAATTTTACATAAACAATACATTGGAGTTTCTAATAGGGACATGCCTTCTCTTCAGTATCATCGAATCGTTGAGTAAGCCTATCTGCAATTTCTTTTGTTTCTGGAGGAGAATACTTCAAATGATATATTTTCCCAGTAACAGGATCTAATCTCCTTCCAACTACCCTCTCCACAAGAATATCTTCAGAGACCTGAAAATCTTAATGTGAATTATAATTATAATAAAAGATACATTGACTCTTTTTTTCTTTCTGCATTAAGATTAATGGTGTCTGGTGTTTATAGCAGTTGAGTGTCTATTGCAAGGTTGTTCAAGTAATTGATCAATTTTTAGATAAATGGTAAAAGCTGTGTAGGGTCAGTCATAACTCCATATGCAAGGTGTTGCTGAGAGGTTCCGAAGCAAATCTTGTTCTTATGGATGATAGTCTGCTGAATATTACTGCTTGACATCAAACTCTTTCTTCTTTTAAAATAACATTCAATCTAACTAATCATTGACTGATAAATTAAATTGAAGCTGAGGCAAAAAATTTGGAAGTATCAATTGTAGAAATATAACAACAAACCTTTACCTCTAGAAGAATAAAAATATCTGGTTCAAACCCTAACTCCTTAAGTGCAATAGCCTGTGATAAGCTCCTGGGATATCCATCCAAAAGCCAACCATTCTCTACTGAATCTGGCTTCGAGAGACGATCCTTGACCATCTATGAAATAAGAGAGTAGTTATTAACAATTAAGACAGAATCGTATTTGAATAGCAATTGAGCGGTCACTTAAACTTCCCCTACCATACCATGACAACTATTTCATCAGGGACCAACCGCCCCTTCTCCATATATTCTTTCGCACGCTTTCCATTTTCACTTCCGGTTTCAATTTCTGCTCTAAGTAAATCTCCAGCAGCAACATGCACCAAATCGTACTGCATATATGAGATGTACTTGAATCAATTTTTTTTTATTTCAATGCACACTAAAAATAAGAGCATAATCTACTAGTGAACCAGTAACTTGTCCCAAAGCCAAGAAAACCATCTAGTTAGTAACTGGTAAAGGTGCAACAGCTGCAAATTCGTTGGATTTAAGTCACAAGTTTCTGTCTTAAATCCAAGGACTTTGCAGCAACAGCACTGCTAGTGTAGGGGATCCAAACACTCTGTCCGATAAATTTTTCTCTTCTGCTTGACCAGTACTTTTGTGTCACATAAAACCCCCGAGATCCTCCTACATTTCACCCACCCCCACCCAACTTGAATTGGATGGTTTAAATATTATTTGTTTGATTTGTTTTTTTGAAGGAGAGGAGAGGGAATGGGGAAAAATGTCTTGTAACTCAACTTTGACTTCCCTCCAACAGTGGGGGCTTTGGAGGGGAGGTAAGATGAGATTAGAAAATATTAAATGTATCATCTAAAATATCAAATATTAAATGCCAAATAATATGTTAAAAGAGTGTGTAAAGTAAATTACAACTTCCCTCCATTAAAATCTCTCCCCTTTGTGAACCACACAAAATGTGGGTTATTTGACTTATTTCCCCGCCTTTTGAACAAATAGTATATCTCGTTAAATTACTCCCCTCCCCTCGTGTTGATTCTTAACAGTATAAGAATCTAAGGAGCTGTTTCGGAGTTGATTTTTGGAGGGTTTTGGAGGGAAAGGCTTTGGAGGGTTGCATTTATATCTTGAAATATGTTTGAGATTTTTAGAAAGTTTAAAAAACAATATACTACATTAGCATATAAAATCATATTGTTTTTTAAACTTTTTTAAAATATCAAACAGATTTCAGGATATAAATGAAACCCTCCAAAGTCTTTCCCTCTAAAATCCTCCAAAAATCAACTCCGAAACAGCTCCTTAGATTCTTATACGGTTAAGAATCAACACGAGAATAAAGAAGTAAGTGTGGCAGATATAAGGATGTTGTGTTGGATGTGTGATAAGACTAGACGGGATAAGATTAGAAATAACAGTATTAAAGAGTGTGTTAGCGTGGCACCTATAGTACACAAGATGGTGGAAAGTAGGGTTGTACTTCACTATTTACATTACACCCATCATACAGTTCAATATACCATAGGGTCTCGAATAAATGTTTGCAACCACAATATAGTTTGTCATATCAGACACACTTAATCAAATTCTCCACAATATAAAGAATCACAACTGCAATCACAATTACACTCAGTTACTCTAGAGTTAAGCTTGAGATACAAGTTCAAACTCAGATACTGCAAAGCAATTACACACAAGTGAATAGCAATTTCAAAGGAAAACCAAATAAATAAATAAATAAAAAGAGATTAATAACTAATAATTATTAAACAACAAGAATAGTTGAAAATATAGGTCAAATTGAAAAAAGAGACTACAAAATACTAATAAAAAACAACAGTTGAAAAACTAGGTCAAATTGAATTGAATAAACCTTACTTTGTTAGCAATAAGCTGGCATTGAGTTCCTTTACCAGAAGCAGGAGCACCGGAAATCATAACGTGTAGCGGCTCCTCCTTCTTCGCCACCGCCTTCACAGTCTGAAAAAATCAACAACAAGTAAACTAATCAAAATTCATAATCATCAAAAAGAAAATTGAAGAATGAAACGATAGATAATACCATAGAAGAATGAGAAAGGGATCGAGTATAGGATGAACGGAGAGGTAAGACATTGGAAGAACGAAAATGAAGGTGTGGTGGTTGACGGTGATGAGTAGTGTTAAGTGAAAATGAAGAAGAAGATGAACGCGAACGCAAACGCGCTTTTTGTAGGTTAGGGTTATCGGTATTGTTAGTTTGAGTTGTGAATAACGATGATGAAGAAGCGGAGAAACTCGAGTTGGCGTAACCCATTTTTTTCTCCGTCAGTCTCCTGCCGCTGTGTTGGTTGCTCTTGTTAGTTACAGCTCATGCGTGTCCATATATCATCGTCTTTTCTGCCAAACATCGTTATATTTCGTTTTTGGAATTCGGTTTCGAAATAAATATTCTTTTTAAAAACGAGTAGCACGGATTCTTTTTGGAATTCGGTATAGAAATTAACATGTTATCTTTTAAATTAAACATGCTACCTCCTAATTTTTTTTATTCTATTTTTATTTTTGAATGAGTTGAATATAATTTTTGGACGAAGTTTTTAATAGAAGGATTGAAATTTTTAATATTATTCAAATTTTTGCTATATCTCTACGAAATTTTCGCTACCATAAATTTCCAGTAGCGTATTTAATATTTCGGGTGTGCCGAAAATTTCAAATTAATTGAAATATCTGATAGTTATAAAAACATGGTTTTTTAAACGATTGAGATTTTGCCGACATATTTGGATGGTTCTGATTGCACCGACACATTTATATGGTCTAGAATGCATCACCATTTGTATAAATATGGGTATTTGTTATAGAGAAAATACATTTCAAAAAAATGTCTCATCCTCAATTTCTTATTAAGGCATAAGTGTATTACAATGGCAATTACCCTCATGTTGAATTCAAGCTTCAAGATGGCTTTGAATCCTTTGCCACCTTGAAAGAAACGTTGAATAATTTGTTGTCTGGTTCTGAAAACAGAAGGGTGACAAAGATAGAGTTTTAGAAGGATTTGATTGATACAAATGGAATGGTGAAATACAATCTAATCGAATTGAAGAATGATGAAGATGTGAAGGCCATGTGAAAATCATTTCTTCGTAGGATAACTAAAGGTGTGATTGAGTTGGATGTGCAGATCCGAATATTTGTCGACGACATAATGAAGATGTTGAAACATCCAAAATCATCTGACAGTGCCTAGGTTTTCTTGTTTAGTTGTTTTTGGTTTATGTTTGTTGAATCTCAACGGATGTATCTATGATCTCACGGAGGGAGGTAACTATGTGACTTTGAAACCATCTATCAATGTCACCAGATGGAGACTCTGAAACTGGACGAGAGATGCCTTGTACATAAACATATTGGCGTAGATATCTCTCAGGAAAGTGTCTAGCCAAATGGATTTGCCATCTAATATGCCCTGAATATAAAGTATATATCTCAAATGGACGATGAGGGAGATGAGATGTATATGGTGTCTAGACAATATCATCCAAGGTCAGAGCGTCAAGCCTCCTCTGATACTTCATTAAACCTCCTGGAATGGCTTGATTGGCCTTCCATCTCCTCGCACATGGCTTAGATGTCTAGACACGCTGGATCTTCCGCTCACAGATGTGAGGAAAGTGTTGGTATATTCAACACTGCATAAATAAAAACCAACAAATAAATACACACAAATAATTAATAAAAACCATCAAATAAATTATAGTATACATGGAACAAGCCGAGGTAGCCGGCAAGCTGCCTGGTCTCAAGTGTTGTACCCTAAAATTTGTCTTCTTCATTTTTTATAATAATTGGCTTATACTTCATCGTCATATGCATACATATATGTCATTAGGTCAAATACTCGTGGAATCAAGACATTTCTCTGCAAGAAAGAAGTGTGAAAGGCCATTGTTCTATTAGGCATCATTGTGAAGTAGAAATTGGGGTTTTTAGGATTTTACTGCATTCCGCACGTGTTCCAAGTTATCCAATGAACAACCAAGCAAGTCATCATCATATCAAACTTTTATGTTTCTCAACACGCTCTGAATTGTTTAAAAATCCAAGTGTTTCATTTGATTTGAAACAGTGCAGATATAAATTCAATACGGTGCGTTTCAAGCTCAAAATTTCACAACTCGAGTTTAGAAAATGGTTTGAGATTGATTCTTCAGTCATTAGAACCTTCTTAAAGTCTTCTTCATTTCATCTGTTCATGTCGAAGACTAACTTTGTGAGGAAGATTTTCTAAAGCGCAAAATACTTGAAATGCGGTATACTGTGGATTTACCGTTTCTCTGGTTTTTGGATGCTTAAAAATTCATAACTTCTTACTGGAGTATCATATTTGAGTGCCCCTTGGAGAATTTGAATCGTCTTGTTATTTCCTCCAACTTTCATGTTCAGCTCAAAAGCTAGTTCTTTGAGGAAAATCTCCAAATGTGTGAGTACTTTAAAGCTAAACCGTGAAAAATGATGAAAATACTGCGTTGAACCGTTATTTTGTGGATGTTCAAAAATTCATAACTTTCATTTGGATTGATGTTTTTTAGCCGCTCTTTGGGTGAAAAATCCATCTTGATTTTATCTTTGATTTGTATGTTCAGGCCAAGAGCCGATTCTTTGAGAAAAGTCCCCGGAATTATGGATTACTAGAAAAATTCATTGTGCTGAACATAAATTTTCATTCACTATTTTTCGATATTGTACAAATTGCGACTTCTTTGATTTTTATCGTATTGAGACATTTCTTTCGGCGTAATTTCGGCATAATTTTTATCACGGATTCTATCGCCTTCGACTTTACTTCAGGACCCGAGTCTGTATCTTGCTCCGAGAGGCACGACATTGTTGATTAAGCTCTAAATAAGCTGAAAAATCCACTTATATAATTTTCGTTTTGAGGTTTCGCCATTTAAAGTTATCAAACTCACTCGATTTTTATCCGATTGAGTTTGTTCTTTCGGCACCGTGTCACAAATTTCGTCAGCTACGATTTTGTTGTTGGTCATGTGTCGAGATTTCGCACTAGTTGAAATATGTCTAAGGGTTCAGTGTCCACGGCTCATGAAAATAATTGAAAATGCAAGCCAAACAAGACTTTAGAGCCATCCTATATATTCAAAAATTCAAGTTTTACACTCATAACTTCATTTTTACCATAAAATATCAAAAACCTCTCATAAACTTTCTCTCAACTCTCAACTCACAAAAGTTGCACAACCACCAACAACCACCACCGGAAAACCAAAACCACCGCACCGGAATTCCAAATTCACCACGCCGAAAAATCAAAAAGTCACAAAAAACTCAAATCTCCTCCACATTTCCGCGACACTATCCTCCCGCTCTAACAACGCCAAAAATCGACCAGTTTCCTCCTCCCTACCGTTGTCGTCGCGAAGAATTTCGGCCTCTCCTCCTTCATTTCTGTTTCGGATCCGCGACTTGTCTCCCTCCGTCGTTGCGATTTAATCCGAGCCAAGCCTTCCTTCGTTTGTGTGTTGATTTTTGGCGAGATCTCCTCTTCTTCAACCTCCTCTTCACTTCAATTTGGTAATTCAATTCTTGATCCTTAAACACTTTGGTTGAATTGTGAACTTACATGAGAATTGAAATTGAAGCATGAATTGAACATATAATTGTGAGTTTGTTGTGATTCTTGAATTTTTGAACTCAATTGTGTTAAGAATAAATTGAGTTGAATTTCTTGAAGATTACATGTTTGATTAAATGCTTGAACCATAATTGATTGATTTTTTAGTATAATTCCATGAGTTGATTTGTGTTTGAACTTGATTCTTGAATTTGTTGAGATGATGAAAAGAGGAATCGGTTGAATGATTGCATAATTGATATGGATCTTGATTTTGATTCGTTAAATTGTTGATAAATTCTTGAACACTGAATTTTAGATTTAATATCAATTATGGAATTATTGTTGAGACTTTATTTTGTTATCATGTATTGATGGAATTTCCGATTCAATGTGCGGATAAATTCCAATTTTCAATATAAAAAATTTTGAATCCAGAAATTGCATTAATTCTTGATTTGTGACTTGAAGGTACCATTTGAATGTGGTTTTGAACATTAAAAGGTGCTTGTAATTTTTATGCAGCGATATGCGAACTGGTGCACGTTTTTACATCTGGTTATAAGTTTTTCAACTCATTTCTTATCCGATTCCGGTTTACATGCATGGCTGTCTGGAAATTATAAAAGCTTTGTAATTACATTTTGAGATTGTTTGGTGTTTATTCATATTTTCTTGTGCGTTTGTGGATTATTGTGGTTGAGATATTCCGTTTCCGTTGAGATTTTCTGGGTACTTAATTGTTGATGCGCAATGTTGCCCGATAATGGTTATTTGCGCTTAAGGTCACATTTTCTTGATGGATAATGCTCATGATACTTGTTGAGATGTTTGGACGGCATTTATGCCAAGTTTTCTCGGTTCTGGATTGAAATTATGCACGTTTCTCATGATTACAGCGTTGCTTCCCGAGAAGGGTAAATGGTACTTGTACTTGGAATTGACCTGTGAGGCATATACTTTTTTGAGTTTGTTGGTGCGTTTGTAGCTAAGCGTGCGATTTTGAGCCAACTCCGTTCTGACTTTTTGCGTGCTTAATTTTTTAATGTAGTGCTATTTGGTGTTTTTTCAACATGTACATTAAATTTAATCTTCACATAATGCATGTTTATGCTTTATTGTTCGTTCATGAACCTTTGTGATTGAGTTAGCTTGGTTCTGAAACATTTTTCGGGTTAATTCTTTAAATAGTCGTAGTATTATCCTGTTTTGTAAAATGCACTCGGATTTGATTTCAATTGTTAGTTTATGCTTTATTGCATTTGTTTTGGTCATTATGAGACGTGTGTATCAAGTTGTGTTGGTTTCAGATCGACATTTTTTGCGTTTCTTTGTGTGATGTACATGCTGCCCAGAATTCGTTTTTATGCTTTCATTACTTGTTGCATTTCACTTTATGCATGATAATATGCTATTTTAACTTGTGATGTCGATTGTTGAATTACATTTGATATTCCTTGTTAGTTGCTAACCCTTCTTGTGAGATTGTGCAAGTTTTGTAAGGAGATTCGTCATGACACATATGTGTTCGGATTTTATCATTTGCTTGTGTAGCATGGCCCGTTGCAGGATATTGGCTTGATGTGCATTATTTATGATTTATTTTCACATCGTACACTGGGTGATTGTATTGGACATTGTATCTGACTTGTTTTTCTTTGTTGAAGCTAGCTCGC